TTTTAATAGATTATATTTTAAAATCATACATTGTATATTTCATATTCTTGGATTAGAAATTGAAAATATTTTACATATAATAACAACCAACATAATTTATAAATTATTATGATTTCAATACTTATGATGATAGTTTATTACGTATTATGATTTTTCATGATAGTTTATTACATGCGCTATCAGCTGAAGTACATATTTTGATTTTATAATGTTTTAAGTTGTGAAAATAATAGTTAAGAATTTAATGTTAATGATGAAATTTCAATCACCTATCATGAATTTTGTATGATTGTTTATTACATGCACTACCAACTGAAGCATTACAGTTTTAAGAATTAATATTTAAACATATTGGGTCAGAAATTGACAATATTTTACAGAAAATAACAAATTATATTATTTATAAAAAAAAAAAATTTGTTTATTTTAATGATGTTGATTTACCATTTTCGATTTTTTATGATTGCATTGCATGCACTATATTAATTTAAAGATAAAATAATTATTAAGAATGGCATTCATGAATTCTTATACTTAGTTATTTTTATTGAATTGAAATTTAGAATTAGTATTAGATATTTATTTAGGGTTAAATTTATAAAAAAATTACCTATAATTGTATTGTTTATAGTTATGGTTATTCTTGTTATTAATTTAAAGTTGTTTATACGCATGAGAAATTCTAAAACATTTTAGTTTTATATCTCTACTAATAAATTATTATGCTTATTTATATCACGTTTCAATTATCTTAGAAAACATTAAATAGAATATGTATACTTATAAGAGCTTAATAAAAGTGTCTACTGTAACTATTGAGCGTTTAAATTTTTATTGTTTATAATTCTTTTAATTTTACTATGTATAAATCATGAAGATTAATTAGATTTTGGTATTATGCATGTAATATTTTGTATAATTTAAGCAACTATTTTTTACAAAAAGTCTCAGATAAATAATTTATAATAGGAATTACGTTTTAAAATAAATAATCATTTTATGTGTATCTATGTTAAAGGGTCGACCAATTATGGCGCGTATCAAGGCAAAGCCAATGAATCGTATGGCAGCCCCGATATCACCTGGTACTGTTGCTGGAATTCCTGGTATGAAAACTGTAAATGGTTTTAGAACTCCTCCTATCCAAGCTCAACCTATCAATCCATACATAGACCAAGGTCCTGGTATCACAGCTGCTGGACCTCCAGCACCACCTCCACAACATCCTCAGGCTGCCAGGTTGTTTTATACAAATGGAGGACCAGCTCAGTATGCACCTGTCAATTATGCTGCTAATCTGCAAGTATATGTAAGTATATTTGATTATTGATCTTAAATTGTGAAGATATTTCTTTTAAATATATAGATATTATTTTATTCAAAATAATTATCCTGGATATTATTATTAAGTTACAGCAGCAACAACAGTCTCCATATTATCCTACAAATATGATTCAGCATTGGGCTCATCCTGCAACAGGTGCTTATTATACAACTGATTTAAGTGGAATATTTTCTGTAAATGGATTAGCTCCCCAAGGATCATTTACTAAACCTCAAAATTCTAGATACAATGTTTCACGTCCACCGTAAGTAATTTTATACTGGGAAATCCATAATTAGTTTATCAATTATAATATTTTTCTGGATTAGTGGTAGAAGCAATGGAAAGATGCGTCATAATTCTGTTGGAGGTAGTGAATATTATCGAAGTTCTGCTTCAGATAGTGGTTTACCATCTCGTCCTGGTAGTTATACATCAAATGGTAGTTTAACTAAATCATCAAGTAGTAGTGGATCTTTGCATATTTCCAATGCAACCAGAAACTATGTTGACAATCAAGATTCTAATGTTGTGGATAGGCAGTCTAGTGGAGCAATCAACATCCCAAAAGATCCTACATCATTGCCACTAAGGTATTATACATTTATATAATTTAATACATAAATAATGCCTTTTGGTTTAATTATTTAAATGACCTAAAGGACTTAGTAAATGTATTTAAAAGTTTACATCAGGGATGGCCAGCCTGCGGGCCGCATGCGGCCCACTTTGGAAAGTTTGTGGCCCACGAGATTTATCAATCATTTACGAAAAAAAATATATTTTTGTCCCTATAAAATATCCTGGAATGCCCACACAATGCGGAATCCATATTAATAACGTAATCGCAACAAACTGTTTGATTCATCAACAAAATTTTTGTTCCCAAGTATTGTCGATGAACCATGTTATGGGCCATGTCTCACATGCATACATTATCATTGGTCTGGCTAGTACTATGTAAAGTCGTTCTTTGGTTTTTTTTTGACAGTAATTTCTACCTTAATAACCCTGAGAGGGTGTACAAACATCAGCTCCCTGATGTAATGTGTTTTTTTATGTCTTCGTGGTTGTTATTTGTGCTACTTAAGTGAGTGCCTAAATGTTTAAAATCATCTACCTCTTCAAAACCTATATTCTGCGATGTGTAGTCCAGGCAGTATTTCGCATCTGACCATTTTTCCTACCAATTCACATGTATTTTGTTTTAGTTTCTTTAATGTTGAGTCCTTGTTTTTTTGCATCTCATATCAGCAATTCTGTTGTTTTTGAATGTCCTGTTCACTTTCATCTAATATTACTTCATTGGCATATGCTAGTAGTGAGAAGTCTTGGCCGCAGTTAATTCCTTGATATTTTTCTTATACTTCCCTTACTGCCATCTCTTGTACAATATTAAATAGTATTTGTGACAATATGTCGCCTTGTTTTAATTCTGTTGTTTGGAATTCTTCTGATTTTTTTGTGACCTAATTTAACCATGAATCTTGATCCTTCCGTACTCACTCTTATCATTGATATTATTTTTTGAGGAGGCTTCTAACAGCTTTAAGTTTCTCCATATTTCTGCTTTTTGTACGGAGTCATATACCTGTTTAAAGTCTATAAAGATTAAGTGTAGTGGCCTATTAAACTTGTACTTTTCTAATACTTGTTTAAGTAAGAATATATGGTCTATTGTTGATCTGCCCAACATGAAACTACTATGATATTATTAGCGTATGGTTTTAATCAGTTTAGTAGAGTATTTGATAGGATCTTATATGTGGTGTTCATTAAGGATAATCCTCTATAATTATTTACATCCATGGTCCTCTTTTTTTTATTTACAGGGCATATTATCAATAGGTTTAATTCCGATGGAATCCTTTCAGTTTTTCATACTTCTTTTAATAGGTCCCATATTTCCTGCATTAGTTTTTGTCCACTGTTCTTCAGGAGTTCCGCTATGATCAAGTCTTTTTCTGGGGCCTTATCATTTTTATGCATTTTAATGACCACTTCTATTTCTTCTTGACTTGGTATTTTATCTTCTGGTTCTGCAGTTAGGTATGTTATATTCTCTTCGGTTGTGTCTACCAGTTATTCCAATAGCTGTTTCTCTAAATTCTTTTGTAATCTATTTTTTTTCTTCTGTAATCATTAGGGCTAGGATTTTAATGACCCAAAAAACCTAAAAAAAAATGACATTAAAATAACCTAAAAATGACCTAAAAAAATGGCCTTAAAATAACCTAAAAAATGACCTTAAAAAATGCCCAAAAGATAAAAAATGATTTTAAAATATTATAAAAATGCATTATAAATTATAATTTATAATTATTAATTATTATTTATTAATTAATATTTCGTAAGAAAATTATTTAAATTATAATATTATAAAAAAAATTCAAGTTTGAAGTTTGGACTTATCATGCAATGACCAGCTTGAAATTTTCTGAAATAAACAACAAAAAATACTATAAAATAAAAAATATATATGCAATCCCGAAAGTAAAGACACTAACTAAATAGATATTTAACAAAACCATACGTAGGTACACTCCACACCACTGTCATCTAATTTTACGATTAAGATAACTCGTGGTATCAAAGTTTATTGTTGTAATATATAAGTGGTTTTATTATCGATAACGAGTACTAACGCACTATCTCTATAATTGAAATATTTATATAATTATTTCTGTTACAAATTCAAAACTTATTGAGAACATCTAGTGTAAATGAAAATGTATAAAAATATTACCAAGATTTCAAAAAAGTATAAAAATGCCCGTAAAATTGAAAAAATGACCTAAAAATGCTACAAAATGACCCTAAATCCATAAAAGTGCAAAAAATGCAAAAAAAAGCAAAATAAAAACTATATATTTGGACTCGTATATGACCAAATCACATTTTGTGTTTGAAAAGCTATGTCCTGTAAATCCTAAAAAAAAATGCAAAATCCTATACTATCCTAGCCCTAGTAATCATACATTGTTAATATCCTTCATTATCATGTTTGTTCTTGGTTTACATTAAATCAAAGAAGTTCTTTTATACTTTTTAATAAAGAAATTAATAATAATAATAAATCACTTTAATTTTAATAATTTACATGAATTATTTGATTTTAAAATAATAACTATTATAGTTATTACAGACTATACCTAGAATTTATAAAATTATGTAAAAACATCAATATAAAAAAAAACATAAAAAAAAGAACTGGTTAATGTCTTTGAGATGAACTTTTGTCATGCCTTAAGTCTTACAATATATTTGAAACAAACAAAACGTTTTCATATGTAGCAATTATGTATAGATCCATTTATTTGTGTATATTTTTATTGACACTCCATCTTCTCCCATGGTGTGGCTCTTATTCTAACTGTAAATGGTTAATTATTTTGTATTTAATTTGTTATTATAGATATAGGCGAAGGAAGAAAGATGATGAAATTGGACCAGAAGTAATAACTGGTACTTTACCTCAACCAACTGGATCGCAAAGTTTTGATTTGGCAGCTGATGCGTTCCCTCCGTTACCACCTCAAGTTGTGTCTATACCACACCAGTCACCAACTCCACTGCCCCATGACCAGTTGTCACCTCGTAATAACTTTGATCCTAGGTAAAATATTATTAAGCTTTCTTTGGTTGTATTTTGTGATGAATAACTTGACTGTTTAAACTCTGAGTATATTTTGCTTTTATACATTCAATATTTATTCATTTAAAATTAAATTGTATTTATATTTACCTACTATCCATTCTACCTACACTACTACACATTACAACTACTACCTCCATTATAAATTTATATATATATATTTATAGGATTTCTCTAATATCATCAAATATGCCTGTGGTTCTTCCTGAACCTTCGGTGCTTAAGACTGAAGATATAGACCCAACTGTGAGTTCAGAAAATGTGGCTAATGGTCCACAAACAGTCCTACCTGTTGCTGTTCGATCTGTACCTGTCACAGCAATTGTTGATGACTTGTCTAATGTGTCACTGAACTCTATAAATTCTCATACAAAGGTTTTTATTATAATTTAATATCATTTTTTGATTTCTTTTAACTAAAAATTTTATAATTATTATATAAATAGGTTCAGGATATTATAACACCTTCGAATTCTATATTAAGTCCTATAGATAAGACTGTAATGCCAGCAAAATCTGACATACCAACTACTATGCCTAAAGCCAATAGTGCATCTCTTAATTCTACTAAATCAACTGTACCAAATCTTAAGGCTGCATCACCATCACAATGTGCTTGTGTCATACCACAACCACCTGCTACGTTTTCTGCAGATATGGCTAACAATAATCCTGTTATTAATGGAAATGGTTCTCCAAATATTGGTCATAAACTAAGTTATGCTCAAGTAGCACAGCATCACAAAGAAAGAAATGAAAGCCATATTTCCACAGTTATCACATTTGGGCAATCTTCTATTGCAGAAGAAGAAAAGAAAGAAGAACCCATACCAGTGGTAACACCACAATCTAAACAATCAAACATCTCGACAGGTATAAATTAAATAAGCTGCGTATAAAAAATGTAATTAATCTTAACCTACCAACTAATTATATTTATATTTTATTATTTACTTTTTGAGTATTTGATAATAATATTAACAATATAAATGATTGATGCCTTATTAGATGCATTTTAAATAACTTCAAACTTTGTTAAGTTATGGAATTAAATTAGTGAAGTTGAAGTTATTTTATTCATTTATTTGTTAATTAAAGTTGGAAATTCTTAAATTAAGCTTACATTAAAAAAATGTATGATACTATGATATTTTTTAAATGATTATTTTAAAAATGTTTTCATTAGTTCAGTTATTGTATAGTTAAAATAGAAAAAGTAATATTATATAATTTTTTTTTTAAAGATGGTTCCATTACCATTAAATCTGGCAAAGGACACCGAGCTACTAATAATGAGCGGGGAACAACACCTAGAAAAGAAAGATCATCTAAATTCAATCGCACTAAGTCACCCAAATAAAATTTTAATGAGGCCTGAGTACTAGTTATGATTCATTTTTTAAACATCTGGTTAAGTAAGTATTTAAGTTAATTTATAGTAATATCCTCTTTTTTAACCTTCAGATGCTTTTAAAGTAAAATACACCTGTGTTAAGGACTTCAATGATTAAACTCGAAACTTGATATATGTGTCAGAATTCATAGTATTTTGAATAACATTTACTTATTAAATTATTTTACCCTCACATATAAATTATGTATTTATTTTTAGCACAAGCTTATTTATAGTTAATTTTTCAGTATTAAAACCAACCACAATTCACAAGTATGGCAAATAAGTGGATGGAACTGGACAGTATCATCATAAAAGTTATGGCATTGTTTAATGCTTAAATTGTTGGACTTAAAACATAAATAATAGATAAATATATCCCCCTCCCCCGTCCTATTGTCATTATATTCTAATCAAGTTGTCCAAGTTATTGTTTATTGTTAGTTATTTTTATATAAGTTTAATTTCTTTTGATTGTTTCCTTTTATGAAAAAATGCATAAAACAAAACAACTTAAACATAAAATTACCTGTAGTGATATAATCTTATGTGTGTGTGTATATATACATATACATTATATATCTATATATATATATATATATATATATATATATATATATATATATATATTTAATGATTTAAATAACATAACTGTGATAAATATATATACATAAAAATGCATAAGTTTATGTTATATATATAATATTTATCTTGGATTAATTGTAGTCATTATTTTCATTGATATAGTATTATGATTTACATTAATTACAAGTATAATATTTCATTAAATATTTTTCATTAATTTCTCCAATTTACGTTATTACATTTTAATATATTTGTAATATTATGCTTCACCTCAAATATTCAGTTGCATTAATATTTATTTTTTAACAATATTTAATCTTTGTTATTTTATGTTTATAAAAATAAATTCGTTTTGTATTGACTGACTGAAAGAATGACTGGATTTGAACAAAATTAAAAGCTTCTACTGTTCTAACTTATTATTATTCGAGCAAAACTGTTTGCACTAATTTTGCTTTAGTTTTGCAAACCTAGTTATTACAAAAGAAAAGTGAAAAAAAATTATGTTGCTTATCACAGTATTGTTATATTTGTCAACTATCAGATAACTAAAAGATAATTACAAAATGCTTATATTATACATCATCAGTTTATATTTATTTATATTTACTTATAATTTATAAGCAATGTTGTTTTGTTTTGTCTTTTATTTTAATATTGTGCTATGTGAGTAATTTTATAAATTTTTAATTTATACATTATTATTTATATGTTAAAATTACTTTAATTTTGATTGTATTATTTTAGAAAAAAAAAATATGAAAGTAATCCCTTAAAACAACTTGATAAATTTGACATCCGCATCCGTTAATGGACCAATTTTTTTTTCTACATTCTTATTGAATTTTTTTGTTTAAATTTTTAAATTTTTATTGGCATGAAATATCTAAAAAAAAAAATTAATAATAAAAAAGAAAAATTAGAACTGAAAATATTCTAGTTGCATAATATAATAGAATCTTTTATTAATGATACAACTATGTTTTTAAATTAGCTTATTTAAAACTAAGATGATGTAACCATTAAATTTTCCTTATGAAAGAAAATATTCATTTTTAATTTTTGTACTACTTAAATTTTGTTTCTGATTTAAATATTTTTAAATTCAAATAATTAAAAAAGAAAAAAAATATAAATATTAAAACAAAAAAATTAAAAAAAAAAAAATGTGAAGTTAACAACTGTAGGTTAGTGTTTTTTTTTTTTTTGTTTTTTTTTAAATTTTTACAGTGGCCATAATGGCATTAGGCCAATGATTCATTGAATAACTTAACTGTATTTAATTATATATAATAGTTTTCTTAAATATGATGTAGATAAATAAAATTTGTTGGTATATAGACTAGAGTTGTCACAGGTTGGGTTTGTTGTTTTTCTGTCAATTTTTTTTAGCGTTAATTTCAAACCATTTTTGTTTTCTAAAATGTGTCTTGGGCGTTATTATTTGTTAAAATGTGCAAGATCAACCAAAAATAGTTTTAAATATATGTATTAAAAACTGACCAGATTAACAAAATTACATAGTTGGTTTGCTCAATTTTCTCAAGGACCGTCCTAATTGACATAAATTTGTGCTCTAATTTATTTTATTGAGTATTAATCTGATAATGATTATCAAAAAATAAAGTTCATGTTCCTGCATTTCTTTCAAAGTCAAATATTTATTAAGTCCATACCTACTTTATTTGCTTTTCCTTGTTGTAATTAAATTGTTGGAATATTTATTGAGTCACAAATTTTTGTTTTGGTCAAATGTTCAAAAAATGTATTGAATGTTTTTTTGTTTAATTAATAAATTTGAGAAAAATCCCTTCAAATCAAAAAATGTATAATGTACTTCTGTTTGTTACCATACTTAAATAAATAGTTTATAACTTGCATACTAACATAAATGAAAAAATAAAAGACAAAATCATATGGTGTAAATATATATTTATACTCTTAATTAATGTCAGCTAGATATTTCTTTTTATTTTCATTGTTTGATTACATTAAAATAAAATATATTTTACTATTATTAATTTATTATTATTTTATATTATTATTTTGTTTTTTGTTACATAATGGTTAATACATTTCCCAAATGTATTGTAATGGCCATATATGTGTTATGTTTGTTGTTAATTGTTTTAAAAATAGAGTAGGTATATGGCTTAAGAAACTATCACGTAATAAAATGTGAAAAAATAGCTCATGGAAGTCCATTAGGTATTGTTTGTTTTATTTTATATTATTTTTTTTTTGTTTTTAGTTATTTAATAATTAAATTATTTTGGGTTATTTTGTGTTATTTGTAATCTTCAATTTGAATGCTTCTACGTTGGATATTTTTAAATTTTCTTTCAAGAACATACAAAATGTATATTAGTAGTTGGAAGGATACTGGGATGACATTTTTTCTTTTGACAAAATGTTTATTTTTTTATTAATCGTGTATATAATTGTTATTTTTTTTTAACTACCTAAATAGCTAAATTAACAATTATTAATTAAGTGGAATTAGGAATTAATTTCCCTTAGTGCTAGTCATGGAAGGCTAATATTGATATATATATATATATATACATATATTTATACATTATTATCTATACAATGTGTGTTAGCTTATGGATTAATTTCTTAGCAGAATTTCCAATCATTAATTATTTGATACTATTTATAATATCACCAAATAAGTGTGCAAAATATTTGATTAAATTGTATTGGATATAATTTCTAATTAACTTTTTGAACATTAACTTTAAACTTAATAATATACCTAAAATGTATACATAAATGTACATACCATGTTTTGTTTAATGTAATTATTTCTTGTAAAAATTTTATTTCTTAGTATGTTTAAATAACCTTGATATTTAAATGGATTTCTTTAAATGGTAGTATGACTTGATAATTAATACATTTGAGTGATGTCTTGGTTATAATTAATAATTGTTAGAAATGTATTATAAGCGCACAGTGCTGTTTGTCAAAACACATCTATTTCATAGCATTTTTATAAGTTATCTATGATTTGCTTGATTGGAAAACTTGGAAATTATTTGTAACTCAATGGATCAATAAATTAATTTTGGCCATGTTAACACAATTTGTATATGAAGATGTATGTATTAATATATATATATAGCCCTTCTCAATTTAAAGAAACTGAAAAAAATACAAATAAAAATAAAATAATTTGTTTAGAATATTTTTATTTAACAGCTGGATATAATATAAAATATAGTTATTCTCTTTTTTTTTTTCGTTGATTTATTTTTCTAGGTGTCAAATGTATATTCTTTTATAGTCATTGAATTAATTTGCAAAAGATAAAGAATGTCGAAGCTCAATAGTATTAAATTATTTTTCTTTTAATTGCCCTAATGACGGGTTGTTTTGAAATCTTTTAGTTCCATTATTTGTTGTAAATCTTTAGTTTTGTAATTTAAGTCAAATTTACTAATATATATTCATTTTATGTATAAATAATTTTAAATGTATACTTTGTTATCATAGTATGATAAATAAAAATATGAATTTTTCCAAGGTAGACGTTGACTACTCTTCTCTTATAATAAAGCCACTGTGCATACTATTATATAAAATCTAGTATTTTTACTACATACAATTGTTTTCGCTAAAAAAATCATTTTTTTTTTCTTTAGTGTCTTTACTATTAATGACTTGACATTACCTATTTAGTATTTACGTAGGCCTTCCAGGTTATTATATTAATAGTTAACTGCAGCCAACCCTTTAGTATTCCATAATGTAAGGTATAATTATTTTTCATGATTTTAATATAACTTTTCCTTACCCAATTACTACCAACCTATACTGTTGTGCCTAATTCCACTGTTTTTGTTACATTATGTAATAAACTTTTAAAAACTGTGTTTATTGAACATATATATTATTAATAAATTGTTACATGTGAATTCAAACGGTAACACGATATACGGTTATTATAATAATTATAATTTCAAATCGCATTAACGTTTGAAACCAGTTGACTGATCCATTTATTCTGTTTTAATCGAAAACTATTTTAACTTATTTATATTTATATTTTTTAAAAATTCGTAAAACTATTATTATACTGATAATTATAATATGAATATTTAAAAAGAATAATCGTGGTTATGTAATTGTTAAGGTGTAAATAATTAATGTTCTTTCAAACTGGATTTCATGACCAACTAGAGAATATTAAAAGTGATAATTAAAGCTTGATTTAGTTGTTTTTTCCTCTCAATTCGGCGTGTAATTCATGCCGATGGATGACGTACGAATTTATGTTTTTATGTTCATGGAGTCTTGTTTGATTTGGAATTTTTGTGATATTTGATTATTAATCTTATAAATACATACATTATATATTATATATAAAGAAAACCGATAGCAGACATTGTTTTATTGTATTTTATCATAGAAATGTAACAATTATATGGTATTTATACAATAATGTGTTTCAATTTTTTCATTCCTACAAATATTTTATGTACTAAAATTTAGCGTTTGTTTTAAAATAGCGTTTGATTTTTTAATCCAATACTAATAAAACATTTGAAGATATAAAAATTATTTAACAGCTATAACTGTAAATCATTGTTTTAGGGTATTTCAATACTTAACTACAATATTGTCTTAACTATGTTTGAACTGATGAAGATTTATTGCGTAAAAATGTATAGTTTATCCTAACCTAACACATATAATGGATATTTGTTTCTCTAGGACTTAACGGAACAAACAAGCCAGTGTTTACTAGTTTTGGGTCCTGAAAACCCATATTTAGTCTAGTTGAGTCCCAGTGTTCTTTGGGTGGTACACTAGTTATATCTCACGATTTTACAAGTACTATTCTAGTGGGGTCCATATAAAAACAAACATTCCCTTCTCATTTGTACAGACTTAAAACTGTCAGTTATCTATTAATTAGTACACGGGTATGATTTTTTTTTTTAATATCTTATATACGGTATATAATCATTAATTGAAAATTAGAATACTTGTATATGATAAATTAATAAATGATTAAAAAATTTACATAATTGATAAAAATTCAAATGTTAGAACTTTTACAAATTCCAATCTTAATTTTTTTAACATTATCAATTGTGTATCAATAATGTAAGTTACAGGTTTTATTGTCCTAGTGGTCGAATCGAATTCATATGTTATCGTTTTTAAAATCGGAAGCAATTAGTTGTTTATCTTTATCATAAATATTGTTTGAAACCTAACTCGGATACACCCAAACAAGCACTGGTATGGTTTGTTGAATGCATGTTTGCAAATATTTCGTTTTCAACATGCCATATTAACATAGGCATAACTAAATTATTTTCAGTGTATACACAAAGACTTATGGCTTTACTCCTTCACATTCCCTTGCCGTGTTTTATTTAAACCAGGAATGTCCAACCTTTTTTCCTCGGTGGGCCACTTTGGTAAACAATTATCTTAGAGCGGGCCACCAAATATAAAAGTACGAATAATATCAATATTAATCTAATAATGTTATTTTATTACTCATAGTGGATATACAATGAACATTTAGTACATGTACTATATTTAAAAAAAATCTTTTATTTGATCAATACGCTCTTTCAAGTACACGGCTTATATCGTGAAATTTTTATTTGAAAATTATCGGAAATCAAATTATTACATTTAAAAAAAAAAGTATCTTGTAGTTATTTTTAAAATGTGTTTTATATTATGTTTCATTTTAAAAAAGTTGTAACGGGCCACGTTGATTACTTTCGAGGGCTACATGTGGCCCGTGGGCCGCGTGTTGGACACCACTGATTTAAACTCTAGATATAATCCCGGATTTAATAATGCCTGAAAATAAACACAATACTTTATCTGTCTAAATTTTTCATGATCGTATAAACAAGAAAATGTATTATTAGGAAAGTTAAATTGACTAGTTATTTCCCTTTTGAAAGCATCTATTATTTTAATTCGAAAGACGCGCTTTGCATTTATAATTTCTTATTTTGGTTTACTGAAAAAAAAAATTTAAATTGCTGTAGACTGATTAAGAAACGTTAAATATTCTCTACGCTAAGTGACGTGCTAATTGGAGGTACAGTCTATTAGAACATGAGAAACTTGCCAAAACAAATCGGTCATCAATGTAATGATATAAACAAATGGTGATAAATGGACGCCATTTTGATCGAAGCGTGCGCACGTTATCACTCGACACGCAATCTTACTGATATGGACTAAAACCGTGTCAGTCTGTTATAGTGCATTGTGCGTTGCAATTTTGTGTAGTATCTGCATTGTATGCCGTTTTATTTCTGTTACAACTGCAGTCGCATCAAAGATAGTGCGCAGGGTTATAGTTAAAATAGCTCGACTACACAATTATTTTGTTTGAAATTTCGTCTATCTTCTTCGTTTTTAAAAAAAAAATATCGAACCATATTCGACGCGTATTTGTAAAAATTTGTTTAGTGGCATTCCAAAGCCATTTGACACCAGTCGCCAATGACACAGATCACTGGGTAAGTACCTATTTAATTTCTATGTCACGTTCTATTTTCGTTACGTCGGTACTTTTTGTTCCTCCCACCATGGATATACCGCTGTTCGCTAGTGCCTGGTACTCAGGTGCGCGCGACACGACTACGATGATCGACCGATGTGTAGATCACGAAAATAAACGAAGTGAAATCGTATTGGAATACGCTTTATTACATATTAGTGTGTATTACGATGTGTTTAGTATCGCTGTACACAACATAGACTGTCGTGAAATGCCCACGCTCACGTAATTATCGGATCGCGCATTTAGAATGTGAACGCGTGGCAGTTATCTCGGTTTCCAGAACGACATTTTCGATCCGATCATTGGTTTTCGGGACGAGATTTCACGGCATTATAAGCTAATTCATCAATCCTCGTTGCCGGTACGCTTTTTTTTGTTGGTATATTATTTTTTATTCATTCGGCTGATCTATTGCATTGTACAACAGTTGGTTCGACAGTTTCCAAAGACAAGAAGTTCGTCTCACCATGGTTGAATGTGATTCTACATTTTTTCAACATCATTTTGAATACATTAAATTCGTGTGTTTCAACCTTATTAATTTATTGCAGTGCCTATCTGTTTACATTTTGTATAAAAAAATTTCCTGTATTTCAAATACAAGTAATATATATATACCTAGTATATCTGTCTCATCATCAATTATTTTTTCCTACTGGTTAAAAACAATCCTTAAATTTGCAAATTATTTGTTTACACCACTACACTCTTGGTTTCTTAGGTTATAAATGTTTAAGTACTTTGTTTCTACATTTTTTTCAAGATAATAAAAAATTGTTAACTAATTAATTAACTATTCAATTTTAGAGTAAATAATACATCTGTCATGGGGCGTCGTTTATCTGGACCTTCCGCCAGAACTCGTGATGCACAACCACTGCCATTGTCAACGCAACATAATTCATCATTGACAAATGATCGAAATAATAGTGTGTCTCAACACGATGAGCTTATTCATTTTGTTAGTGGTTGTAAGTATTTTAAATAATATTTAGTACAAGACTATTATTAATTTTGAAAAATTGAATATTGTTTGTTGCACAATACCTATATAAATAAAATAACATTTTAAGTAAACTCAAATTTTTGCTAGCAACTAAATCATTTTTTAGGATATTTTGATGTAATATTGATTTAATACAATCTAAAAGTAATAGAAAGAATTGCAAAGGTTTTATTTTGATATAATGATGACAACATATTTATGTTTTAAATTATTATTTTTTCTATAAGTCGACCTTTCTACCTTTAGATGTAAACAAAACAATTTTATTCAATTATCATAATGTAGGTAATAGTCACTATAAAATAAATTGCTTTGTTTTTAATATCATAGTGTTTAAAATAATGTGATGATAGTATAACTAATAAAATTTAAAATTTAAAAAGTATTATATCATTTATATTTTATATAAATTTAATTGAAAAAATGTTCAAAAGATGTATATTTTATTAATATGAATATTAAAATTAATTCTAACTATGATTAATGATTTTAATATGATTTATTAATTAAAGTTTAGACTTCTTAAAAAATAAGTGAATTTTAGTATTTATTTATACCTACACTTTTTTCTTTTTATTATTTTTAAACTTAAATTTTTCTTGTATAATAACATAAATACAATTTTACATCATTCTCCAATTTAAATATTTTTTTGTTTTTGAAAATTATAAACTGAAATTGAAGGTTATCTGTTCTAAATCATAAGTTGATATTTTTTTAATACTATGTAAAATAAATAATACAATTTTAACAAAAAATATTAAATATCTTATATTTTTATGAATTAAAGGGTATAAAAAATTACATTATCTTAATTTGTGTATTAATTTTTCAAGAAATGACATATTTTTTTTCCTTTTAATTTTTAATGATTACATTAAATAACATTTTTTAACCACCATTATACCACATAATGTAATATTTAAAGTTGTCATGAATTATAATAAAATAATTTGTAAAACAATGAAATATTTAATATTTTTTATGTTATATGGTATTTCAGAACAATTGATTTACATTATCAATATTTATTACTAATTTATTTTTATTAATGTTTTAGCATGGAATGTAATAATTCAAGAATATGAAAATGGATTACAGGGAAATAATGGTATGTATATTATTTTCATAATTATTAAATGAAAGAAAGTAGATATATATTTACATTTATATGTATACGTATGGATTATGTTAACATTTGGCTAATGTCGACAGTATTCATGCACATTGGCTAATATGTAATATTTTGTGTATACACATGAAGTATCAAATAAACCCAAATAAATAAATGGTGAAAATATTAAACAATAATTTTTGTTAGCATTCTGTATACTATAGTATCACAATAATAATCTTATCCTAACTTATAATTTATCTAATCAATAAAGTGAAACATAAATAGGTCTAGTATTCTAGGTAGGTATAGTATCTTAATTATACAATGTTTTTTTAATAACTTTATATGTTATACAAGTATAATACATGATGCTAATCTGTAGTTAGTCCGTTTTCAAATGTGATACTTGTGAGTACAATATTGTATTTTAATTTTGTTGTTTAATTAAAATGGAACCAAAACCAGATTATTATTATTTATTAAAAAAAATGTTTTCTGAAAAACAATAAGATTATCATCAAGATATACAAAGATATATATATTTATATGGTTACCATATGTCCTAATTTTACTGGGACACTACCGGTTTTTAACCAAGTGTCTCGGTGTCCTGAGAAACTGTTTTGGGACAGCGATTTGTCCCGGTTTCAAAATTTTACTCGATAAAATATCAAGAAAATTGAAAACAAAAGAAAGGATTGGTTTCTCACAGTAGAAAGAGTTACTACAAAGTGTAATTCTCTCCATCATTTTTCTTATTAAGCCATTAATACTTTATATCAAATTAACTTTCTTTGTTCTGTTTCTGTGTATTGTTGTTGTCCACCATCTCCTCTTATTGGGTTGTTTAATTTTTTTGAGTGGCTTAAATGTAAAAATTTATAGTAACTGTATGTACTCAATGCAGCCGCGGCTGTTATTTTAACCACGTCCACTTTGTACAACTGCTAGACACAACTTAGTGAGTCATGGGACTATACAAAAGTGTAGAGTATGCATTCGTGCGCTGCTTCGTCTCACGTTAATTTGATAAGAGTCTTGATGAAGCGACCTCGCGAGAGTGTAACTAGCTTTAAGTATATTTACTTATTTTTATTTACTGATAATAAGCGACTTAAAAATCCACATTATTCTTACGAAGTATTGCCATCATGGAATTTCAAACATTTGAGTTAAAAGTACTAATACCTTGTAGAACGTTTGGAAAATTACAAATTATTAACAAAACATTTTTTTTCTAGCATATTTTAATTGTATTTTGAACAATTAATTTTTTTTTAAGGTACATAAGGTAGGATAACTACGTTTAAAATTAATCATCCATTCATTTCGAGCAGGGATTGAACCCCCAAAACCCCTCCCTACATCCGCCATTGGCCAAAATGCATGGATTATATCAATATTAGCCAAATTTTAACATTACCCATAACATATATATTTATAATTTTACTGAAATAAAATAGTTTCTTTTAAAATATTAATTTTTTGGTTATAATGATCTGTATTGTTTAAAAGTTATAACTGTTTGGTAATATAATTGTTTAAAATATTTATAATTTTTCATTCAATTATTTTAATAAAATTTTATTATTTAAAATTATTTGTTTTTAATTTAATTAAAGCTTTATAGTATTATAGTTTTATAATTTGTGTCAAATATTTTTTGTTAAAAAAGGGTCCTGCCCGTATATCTGTAATAAATAAATAAATATTGAATGTTCAAAATTATTTTAAATACCAATAGTTACTCATTATAAATTATTACAATGATATTTTTATTTATCTTAAATAATATATAATTTGTAATCAGCATTTAATTTTTTAGGTCGATTTCATATCCAGTTTTATGAAGAAAAAGGTGGGCATACTGACAAATTAAAAGGTATAAATATTGTTTTAATTTCTATATTATTTATAATAAAGTTTAATTTAATATAAAATCAATTTTAAATTTTTGTTTTATTTATACAAATTAAGCTTTATATGAGTTGATTTTTGTCTTAGCGCATAAGCAAAAAGAATTGAGTATATTTGTAATTTAATTCATGCTTTAAAATATTCAATTGATTTATTTTTTTGTTCTTAACTATTTAAATAGTTTTTAGTATTTAGTAAATGTTTGAATTTTTATGTTTCAGGATTTAAGCCTTTTGATTTAGAAGCTTGGTGGGGTAAACAAACTTTTCAACGATACCAACAACGTTCCTAACAATATTATACTTTATGTTAATGAAATGTATTTTCCAATTCAATATTTTTTTTCCAATTATTTAATATTCAAAATATATATGTTGTATTACTACGATATATTGATACTAATAATTAAGTTAAACTTTGTTATCTACCATCAATTATTAAATGTCTGCCTCATAAAGGTATGTCCAAATAATATAAGTATGATATAATAGTTTTGATAACTATAATTTGGGTATATGATTGGCAAAATAATAATAATGATAATAAACAAGTATTATTTAATTTAATTTGCTCTTTAAAAGTTAATTCATTATGTATATACTTTAATTCTAGGAGCAGGGATTTAATATGATTATTCCCATGTATTATTTGACATTCCAAAAAATTGGATATCGTAGAGTAGCTTGTATATTCGTTATTATTTATTTTATTTTAAATATAAATTATGTTTATTATTTATATGCAATCTATATAATTTAACCTATTGCCTGTGTCAATAGAAAAAAACTAATAATTTAGTGATATTATTTTTATTATTTTCCAAAGATAAATAGTTTATGTTTCATTGAAAATAACTTTATACTATTGCAATTTTTTTTTTGAAAACTAATATTTATTGAATAATCAATTAAATGTACCTGTAATAATATATTTTATATGTAATTTAGTTTTAAAATAGAAAGTTAAACCTTTCTTCTTATATTGTATTTAGATTTATCACTTCATTCTTTTTTAAAATATATTATTTTCTATTGATATTGCTTTTGTCTTTTTAAAACATGAGTTGTTTTTTACCTTGCTCCTTTTTTTTTATTTATAATTATTTTTTAGCTATAAATAAAATGTTATTAAACAAATAACTTTGTGTATTAATTGTTCATTTTATGTAAATTAAATTTATTACTAACAACACATAATCAACAATTAATTTGATTTAGTATTTGGTGATTACATTTGGTCTAAGATTTAATGATATTTTCGGTAATAAATTATTGAAATTAATCCAGTATTTATTTTTATTTTCCTCTTTTGATTTTAGTAATGTAAATTTGTAAAATGAAAACTGATGTTAAAATTAATAGTAATGGTTTTAGTATCTTGTAGAGATAATGTCCAATCAATTAATATTTCACTCTAAATATCATAAATATATCTGATTACTATTTTTTATTAAATAATTACATAATAATAGTTTTTATTTCTAATTAATATTTGTCTGTTGAGACCAATTTTGGTTTCTACATTTTACATTTCAGTAACAGTTTGGCTGTTATCAATTTCTATTATTAAATGTATGACATTATTGACAAATTATGTACTTTACAATGGACATAATTACATTGTCAAATGATATTACCTTAGGGCTTTAAGTATTGGTAGTTAGAACAGCAGTGGGTGTTGAGTGCAGTGTTGAAGCATTATAGGACACAATCAGGGCCTGCATTGGGTAGGATACAATACTCTCACCTATGAATAACCTATTTATTTAGTTGGCAATCATCAACTAATTAAGTAATATGTATTAGTTTTGTAGAATTATGTTTTAGAAAGTAGTGGCTAATTTTTATATTTATAACCCATCATCAATAGACATCACTAGACCTGATTACAATGAAACAACGTCTATCCACTTAAACTATGGAAAAATAAGATGGTGTTGTTATACTTCAATATATAAATTAAATATGAGTATATATCTCTTTTTTTTTTTGTTACACCATAGTACAGTAGTTCTTAAATTTTTTTAGGTCACATTCTCAAAACGATAAAATAGTAATCTCGATATGATTTTAAAAGTAATCAAACTATCATATTGACTATATTACAATAATATCAATAAATCATGTACTTCAGGCTTAAAATAATTTGACAATTTTATTTCATTACATTTTTATAAAACCGTTTAAAAAGTATTAAAGAAGTGAAATTATGTGAAAAAATTTAGATAATAGTTAAAACTGTTTTTATAAATGAGTAAAATTAACAAAATTGCAACAAAATTGAAAACATGTCCAAAATTGCGAAAAATTACGTTTTAGATTTTTATTCGTACTTACACGATACGCATTTAAAACTTACTTAGCAATAAATTGGAGCAGTTGAAAAAAATTTGAGAATGCAACAACATCCGTGCCCTTAATAAAAAATTAATAATGAATAATTAATAATAATTAATTTATAGTTGAGTTTAAAGCTAAATGTATATTTTAATTAAAAATAATACGTAAAATAAAGAAAAAATCTACATGATTCATAATAATGAATATAATAAATTTGATAATGTTAAAGCTCTAGAGAAGAAAAAAGTGGAACTTTAATTATTTTTATAAAACGGAACATGAAACAAGTTTGATTTCCTAAAAAAGTGATTAATTAAATACAATTTCATCATAGACAGCAATTTTGAAGAAAATTTTAACCGTTCAATAAATCATAAATAAACATGATATCTGCAACTTTCCTCTTACCTCATAAGATATATACCAGGTCTTATTTGTACTGCCAGTATGACCCAAATAAGGTACTAGGAAAATCAAAATGCTAAATAAATTAAGGTGCGTTACCCCAGCACCCGCACTTTCGAAATCATGAATTGTAATCAAGAAGTATTATGTACTTTTTTAATAAAAATAAGAATTAACAGAATATATTAGGTAAGTACCTACTCAAATATCAAGTTTTAAAATTACGTAAATTATATTAAGTAGGTGCATTATTTTAACAATAATTAAATTAATCATTGATATATTTATATATTATTGATAATATTATATTACATTTTTACATTTGTTGACGAATGATTTATTTTCTGATAAGAATAACAAAAAAAAATCGAAGAGTATCTACATTACATGCAGATACATCGGTACATGTATATGTCTTGTTTCTACTGAATACAGTTGACATAAGAATGTCAACGTCGATTAGGTATTAGATGCGAGGATTAAGCTGTAGGTAACTTTTTTAACACGTGTAAAAAATAAACAAGGTTCAAAGATCGCATGTTAAATATTTTTTTGAATATACATTTTATTTTAATTTAAATTACAGAATCCTCATTTATAACACTTTTAGAGACATCGCACACTACAGACTTTATATCGGCCGATAGTTTAGTCGGGTTCTTAATCAGTACAAAGTTATGTGCAAGAGCGCACATTATAACGATTTGGTATCAGCCGATTAATAAGTTTGATGGGCTGCACGATTGTCTTCAAACTAAACAGTCGGCGAACTATCGGCCGACTGCTTAATCAGTATGGCGATAATTCCACGCGCGCACACTGCCGATTTTTAGTCTGCCGACTCGGCCGATTCACCAGAGCTTCGGAGCGGGAAGGTATAATAAAAGTATACTAAAAAGCGACTGCTATCGTCAGCAGAATTCAGCATAACTAAAAAATCTTTCCAGAGCAGTCGGCCGACTATTGACTAGTTTGCGTACCACCACCAACCAAACTGTTTAGTTTGCCCAGTGTGCGCGATAGCAGCCCAACCCGACTAAATTATCGGCCGATATAAAGTCTGTAGTCTGCGATTTCTCTTAGTGATTAATAATAAAGAATGGTGTTGAACACGCGTTTCAAGCTGCTCGATGTGTCCATAAAATACTTAAAAAATATATATATATAAATATAAACAATATAAATATGTTTACGAAGAGTAATTAGCTAACTAAAATTACAAATACCGATAATTCCCACCAACTGACATCGATGAACAAATTATTAACCAATATCAGTTATATTTATATAATTTATAATGAGTTATTTTTATCGTCAATATAATTATTATTCAACTAGCTATACCTAATGTTACTATTTTACTAATTTTTCTCAAAACTACTCCATTGTTGCTTACTGCCTTTTGGCTTAGGAGGGCAGTATACATATCAATAAACATCGTTTTATATTTGTCATGCCGTAGGTATACCGTAAAAGTTTTTATTATTTTAACATTGTCTGATCAATTTCTTGTCATAATCACAGTACGAGTTGTAATTTAATAGTTGTAATTTAATTCTTAATGTTAAGAATAACAATATAATATTGCATTTCTAAAAATAGTCTAATACAGGGGCGTATTGAGACTTACTTCTAGGGGGGGGGGTGACGACTTAAATTTTTTCTTTAATTTTAGCTCAAAATTTACAAGTAAAATTTTTGGTAATATTTATATCTGGTGAATCCTTAATATTTGTGGTTTTTTTTTTTTAATCTAATGCCGGATCCACTTAGAATGGTCTTTTGTGTAGTTCTTTTTTAACACCTATCTGTGTTTTGAAAGTTTCGCTGTATTTTATATAATATTTCACTTAGTATGGACTGAGTCTTCAATCAAAATAATATATATTATTTATCGTTATAGGGTATATAAATGTTATAAGCAATTGAGTGTTTAACGCTATAAATAATTTAAACGTTATTCAATTTAAGCGTTTAAACGTTCAAAAATTTTTCGTTTATCGTTATTAACAATTAAAATGTTATGAAAAATTTAGTGTTTTGCGTTATTTAAATTAGTGTAAAATTTGAAATGTTTTCAAATGTAGTAATACTATAAAATAAATCATAATTTTTGTTTCTTAATAAAATACTCATTACTTATATAAAAATTGTCTTGGTCTAAAAATTCTCCGGGGGGGGGAGCGATTGTCCCTATCACCCCCCCCCTAAAATACGCCACTGGTCTAATACAATTTGATTTTACGTTGTACAATAATAAATACTATTTATAATCAATAAACAATGATACTAAGTAGTTGGTACGTCGTACGTGGGCATTATGCTACATTGCTACTCTTAACATTGTCGACTAATTCGTCTATTCATGATGTCGCACTTCTAAGGTTTACTACAACAAAATGTATCGAATATTTTGACTCATAGATTCATTTTATTTTAGTAATTTACTATAATTTTGTCTATAATAAACTATATTTGGTTTTAATATGAACTTGAATGTACCTATCACCTAATGTCTTAATGTATTTATGTTTTTCAAAATTGTGATCATTTAAATAAGTTACATTTATGTCGTGTATTAGGTATAATTTCCTTGATTTTTTTTTTTGTTTTATATTAAAATATAATTAAAACTTTTGTGTATTTCTCTAATAAGTGATGGCAAACGATAATAGAGGAAGAAAACTAAATAATTTAAATGAAAATATTTATGATGAAATTTTAAATTTGAAAGATCAAATTATTTTGGATGTCTATAATAAGTATAAAGTAATAATTGATCTGGGTGCTGGTGTAACGTTACCGAAGCATCCGTAAGATAAAATTGAATGTCGGCGAGGTTTGGGAGTTGTACAATATTTAATTTTGGTTGTACAAAATTGTACAAAATAAAGTACATAATACTGCTTGATTACAATTCATGATTTCGAAACTATGGGTGTTGGGGTAACGCACCTGGTTAATACGTCCATATTGATACATCGTTCGTCGCAACAGATATTTTATAATTATTATAATTATTTTTTTACTATATTCTGAAAGCGGGACATTTTAGTGACCCCAAAATTTTCCTGGGGACAACGGGACGTATGGCCACCTTAGTAATGTACTGAATCTTCTTGATCCATTATATTATCAATGGAAATGTAGTTTACACTATCTCTTGGCAGTTTACTCTGTATTATGTTATTCATTTCGTCAACATTACTATTTCTAACCGTCAGTATTGTTTTTTGACACATCCACTGATAGTCATTTTTTTTCTACTAAGACTTCATCTGGATAGACTTTAGAGATTAGGTCTTCAATGCTGGTAACTTTTTCACCTAAATCATGATAAATTTCAATTTTACATTTAAATTTTACCAAAGATTTGAAAAATTCTAGGCTAACTAAAAAATAATTATAAAAGTAATAAGTTAAAAGAAGATAAAAAAATGTGAAAATAGTTGATCATGGTTCGAATTCAAAACACTCTGAGCTAAAATAATATTAAAGTGCCACGGCGTTATAGAAATTTCAGTATACGGTAGTCATTTTACGGTCTTTTAAATGCAAAATCATAAATTTCTTACAATTTTTAAAATTCCGTTTTTACTTGCGGAGTTTCCAAAAATGTTATAGCTTTAGCTTTCCTCAATAAATGGGCTATCCAATACAAAAATAATTTTTAAATTTGAACCAGCAGTTTCTGAGATTAGCGCAATCAACCAAAACAAATCTTTAACTGTATAATATTAGTACCTATAGATTTTCTCATCATTTTAGATTACTGTAATGAAATGTAATAAACACTTCACGATTTATCTCATTTTAATTTTACTGTTATAATAGTCTATAGATAAGTAGGTACTATCTTTATGCTAGTTTCAATTAAAGTGGCTCTACTGATAGGCAGCTCATTATAATAGTGATATTATTTAATTAAACTTAAAGCTAATGCGAAGAAAATATATTGAAGAAAATTTTAGTTAATAATCTTAGCATCAATAAACGCTTTATTTATTTTATTTTTTGTATTTAAGACATCTAACAAGCTGCGTACCTTGTAACGGTTATATTACCGTTAAATCTTATTTATCAATAATTTTGCTATTGTAGTTCACATTAAATATTCCTATATGTACAGAAAATAAAAGGCTTTTTAATGTGATTGTATTAGTATACTTATCTAAAATAGATAATATCTATTTTATTTATTTTTTTTTTGTATCCTATCTTAATAATCCTTCACATTTTATTTACATATCTTCTGTATTTGTGGTGGTTCTTCAAAGGAACTTGTTTATTTTATTTTTGGATTCTAAAATAATTAGCCATTTTATTATTACATATTATGACTTTGTTTTGCAGTAGTAAAATAATGGGCTTGAAAGTTGATAAATCCAATTATCAAATGCTATTTAAACTATAGCTAATTGCACTAAGTGTAATTTTTTTATTTTTATTTATTTATACGGAAAAATGTCCAATTCATAATATATTTGTATAACTAACAATAATAAATAATAATAATAATATTTTGATAAATATATCATAATTTACCACCTATTTATCCGGTAATCAGAATAATTAAGAGTAATTTACTTACAGTAAACTATTTTAGATAACTATAGACAACTAACCAAAAATATTTAATTTTTTAACATAAAATCAAGATTTTCTATTTTTGGAACACTGAACCATATTTTCCATTGGAATTTTATAAAAACTAAAACTATCTAATCCTATATTTTATTGCAATATTCTGTAAGTTATAACGCTTAAAGACAACTACAGAGTGTTTCAATTCATAACTGTAATTAGATATTTTAATAAGTCAGTGATTTGAGGATAAGTTATTTTTTTGAGTGCTATAAGGAAATCTTTCTGTCTTGATAAACGACAATTTAACTTCCTTCTTAAATTTTAACATTTAATTTTTTTTTCAATTATTTTAGCATATTTCTACAGTATCATCAAGAACAAGAAAATACATCATATTGTAAGTAATTCCTATTAAATTGAATTTATTCTATATGATAATAGTTTTATAATAATAATTATAATAAAATGACTAAAGATCTCAACAAAGCTTTTAAAACAATTTATAGTATACAGTTTCTTCGAATTTTATATTCAATTTGCGGGTATACCGTATAGAATTATATATAATTCTTAACAGAGAAATATTTGAAATAATTTAATCAATTTTTATGCGTATATTTTTCCATTTAAATAAAATATTTTGGTTTTCTTTATTTATTTATACACAATATATTAATATTATGAACATTATCAAAAGTACTTGTTAATTTAAATAATGTCTACAGGTACCTTATATATAAGTTATTTATTAAAATTCTAATCAAAATTTATAGTTTATAATAGCAAAATTAATTGTTCTTTTATGTTATAGAATAATACAATACTGTGAAATACCTGGTACAACTATTAATATGCCACGTAGTAAATATTTTTTAGCTTGTCACAGTTGAATATAATCTGAAGAGTTTAATAAAAAAAAAAATTAATAAAAAAATTAAAATAATCAGCATGCAATCAGAGAATAATATGAATAATATCATAATGCTGATAAAATTAGCTAACTGTACGTTAACCTTTGAGATGCATCTAAAAATAAAAATTTGGGGCGCAAATTTTGAGTTTGAGAGTGCTAATTGTTGTCGATGAAGTAATTGTCACTTTATGGTACCTGTATACTGAAAATTCTATTATTTTGCTTGGCGCTAAAAACAAACCGTTTATGAACACGGTATGCCATCTGACCGCGATTCCTGGGACTCTATAAAAAACACGTCAACGGAAAAAAAAACCGATGCCGCTACAAATTTCTGACCGTGATTTACTCTCTATTTGGCGATGGGTCTGAGTTTATTTTTATAATTGCTTGGTTCACAGCAGTGATTTTTTACTCACCTTATCTTGCAGTTAGATTCCCGTACAAATTATGTTTAATTTGCAACAAAATATGCGGCCAAAGGTAAGAAATTATAGTATTTCATACTGCTACAATCATATTAAATACCTTATGTTAGTATGTCTAAGATAAGTTACACACAATGATGTTTTTTCATAACAGGTTTGTAGTATCTTATTTTTACGTTTTTATGTGCATAATTGATTTAAAGTGTAAAAATATGAGTTATTACCTATGCGGGTACAACTAATATGTTACCCGATTTAGAATGTTTTCCATTCGTTTTCGACATGAATGCAATATGCAGGAAGTGTATTCAGCTGTGTGACAAGAATTTATTTGTATATATAGTGAGGCTTGTAAAAATTGGCAATTATTTTTAAATTTATAATAACAACATATGTCTGTATATATAATGTCATGTGCTCCCAACACACCCAAAGTATCAAATGCTATATAGTATGTTTTTATGTATGTAATAGTTTTTTATTTAATCATTGCTGTATTATATTAGATATTAGCTTATGGGAAGAATTTGTAAATCGTGAATTTTACCTAAATAAGTTTTCTACAGAAAGTCGAGTATGGAGGTTATTATTTTCTGGGAAAAAAGTTAGGCTCGAATAATCAAATGATAAAGGCGACTATGATATAATTTTTTAATTTTGAATAATCTAAAATGTATTTTTAACTAATTATAATTTACTTAAAGAAAATAGATTTAAATGGACTAAATTTGTATAAAATATAAATATAATCTAAGATAAGGTATTTTGTAATATTAATAAGTAATAATTTAATAATAACAAACGGTCTACTTAAGTTTATATGCAATTCATAATTTTACCATGATGATTAGGTTGATTATTATTTGTTATAAATATTATTAAATTGATAATTTATTAAATAAAACTAAATTAACATGTGACTGTTAATTATTTTAAGTAGTTATGTATGTGCTATGTATACCGTGCTATGGCATGTGCTTAAGTATAGTAGTTGCCAATTGGCAATTTGCTTTTTTATCTATTTATACTTTATTGTTTTGTTCAAATAATAAATAATTTTAAACTTTCCATCAAACAATGGTTGTATTTTTTTAGGTAATGGTTGTTATTACCTAAGATAATCTATAATAACCTAAATTATATTTTATACATAAATAAACAACATTCCATAAAACATTTTAAAGAATAATTATAATAAGTGTGTCGTAAATCTAATTTTCAGCAATATGTTTATGCTCTACGCCTTATAGCAATAGTATGTCCTTATATAACATTAGAGCTGCATTAAAAAAGTTTGCATGTCGAACCAATGTACATTAATACCATAGACATATAAACCTAGGTTCAATGATTAATACCTACACTATATATAATAATTTTAATCACAGGGAAGAATTATTGTTAAAAACATATATAAAATATAGTATTTCATATCATCTCTATGTTAAATGCAATTGCTAAAATTAAAGCGTTTCAAAACAATAAATAAAATAAATATTCTTTACGAATTAACTTTTATAAATAACCTTCCAATTAAAAGATAAAAAACAGTATGTTAAGGATTTATTCACCTATATAGAATAATGTTTGCTTATCATGAATAAGATAATATTTGTCGAAATATAAGTAATTTTAAAATTTTTAACAACATACCATTTAAATATTTTTATTAACTTCTGCTAAATGTTATTATTATTTTTTTTTGTTATAAAAGTTATTAATTATTAGATTATAACTTAAAGATTATTACTTGACAAATTTTTGTTGTATCGTATATCGTATGTCTTTGTAATTTCGGTATTATTTATTCATTGAACCATATCTAAAACTCTTTTGTAAAACTTAACAATCACGATGTTTAGAATTTCACAAATATCACTTTAAATGTTTTATCATTAATAGTTTCTAATAAATGTATATTTATATTATTTACATAGATAAATGTCATAGGTGCTAATAAGGGGGGGCTTAGGGGGTATTAGCACCCCCTATTTTACAATCAGCACCCTCAAATAATGTTCGTGTTTATGTATAAAAAACTTATTTTTGTCATCAGACATTTGACTATTAGAGTATAAAACTATAATGAAATATAAATGAAAATAATGTTACTCGACAATCGTCAATTCACATTTTGTCGAGTTCACCGAAACCCTAATTTAAATTAATTTTAAAACCGGAACCCCATCGGAATCTTTATTTGTATTTATTTAAAAATCGGCTCATTAAATTTTTATAGTTTTAATATAAATTAAATACCCAATAAATACAGAGCTTAAGCACCCTCAGTTTTTTTAAATTGTGCCTATGATAAATGTTATCCTGTAAGTTGTTATAGAAATGAAATATTTAGGGTTTTAATAATATTTTATTATGATGCTAATACGGACTAAAAGAGTTTCGTTCTAGATAAAAATAACTACCTATATATAGTTATATATATGTATATTTTGGTGTTAAAAGATAATAGTTGCTAAAATATCTATTTCTGATTTTCATTATATTTTTACTACATTTTACTTAATGTTGTCCCTTCAATTAATTTTTATTTCAAATATTTATTCATACCAAGTTAAAATTTTACTATCATAATGACTATAATATAACATAGAAAATATATTTATTTTAAATATATTTAACCAGCTATAATTTGTAAAAAAATAATAATTTTTTAAGTCACAATTTTATTAATTTTGTAAATATCTGACTGAATTTCTAATTCGAAACTGGTCCAACCTTACAAATATAATAATGCTCCAGATTGAGCATTTATGTATTTATTTTTTTCTTCTATATATAAATTAATTGTTTATTTATTTATACATTAATTTACAAATATTAATAATTTATTAATTTTTAATTTAAATTAAATTTTTTATTATTTCTTTATTTAAAAAGTAATTCATGATCAATTTTTATAAGGAAGTATCCATCAAAACATTTAAGTTTAAAAAAATGCTATGATCTGTTCACATTTGATAATTTCATTTTAATCACTCATTAAGAATAATATATTTATTTAAATCAACGGACCTCGTTATAAATGTTTCGTTGGAAATAAATTTGAATAAAATACGTAAAATTATGTCAGTTATTTTATTTGATACAAATATTAATTAAAAAAGTCGACTGTTTTCTTCGGCTGACCTATTACTATCTCATTCCTATGCCTATGTAACCTAACCTATGCCTATAAAATAATTATTTTATTATGAACTCAAATGTATATGCTGATCACAAGGATTATTTTATGATCTTATCGTTTTAGAATTTTGATATTTTAATCAATAAACAAATTTTTGTTTAAAAAATACTGTTTCATATGATATTAATTTTATATAGAGATTTTATAAATACATTTTCTTAGAAGAATTAATTTGAATACATATTTAATAATAATTATAACCTTAAATGTTTACAATATATTGTAAAATAATTTTTACTGTAGTCTGTTTTAAATGTGTGTTTTTAATTAAAATATTGAGAATTTGCTATGGCATACGTTATATTTTTCTCTAAAAAAAAAAATCTAATGAAATTATTATTTGCATGTATATATATATTTACCTGTATAATATATTTTTCTTGTATAATTACATAAAGACTCTAAAATTTAATTCTGGATTTTTGTGCGATGACCACAATCGGCTTCTGAAATCTAAAAGAGTAGATTGGAGTAGGATTTTTTTTTAAGTCGTTTCTATATTGAGTCCTCATCCTTTGTAAGAATTAGTTTTACTACCATTTTTTAAGTTATTTTTAATTTTTTCTCTTTCAGTAGATAATTTGTTTTTTTTTTTTTTAAATAATAATTGGCAGTTTTTGCAGAGCCGAAAGAGCCTTAAAAATTTCACAAAAACCAATTAATATAGTTAACAATTTTTTTAATCGTTTTTTATTTAACTGCTCATTTGCAAATACAGTTTTTAACTTAGCTAGTTTTAGATTTTTACTCGTATATCTAAATAATTTATTCTATGTATTATTTATATATTTCCCGATTTCAATAACGTGGGAGTTATAGTTGTTACTATGTTTTCATATATTCATATATATTTTTATAGATATTAATCCAGGAAACTATTTAAAAAACAACTAACTGTTTTTATAGATTCATATTTTTCATAAAAGGTTAACTTTATCGGTATAGATTATTTTACCTAATACTAACTAAAATATCATAAGATGTATGAAATGTTTTTGAAAATTGAAAATTGAAAGTATTAAATAAATATATTTTTACAAGAAAAACGATGATTATTTTAAATAGTGGATTTTTTTCTTGAAATGTTTTGATAAAATAACTAGCTAGAAACTTTTATTATTAACTTTAATTTTTAACTTACTTTTATTATTTTAAGGCTTGTATTTTTAAATGAATTTGCAAATTTTTTTTATTACGTCACTAAAAATTTGAATCAAAATTATAAGATAAGATAATTTATCATTGTTTCCAAATGTATATCAATAACTATACGGTTTACCTAAGATTAACTAAAAATGTGAGGTATTTTCTAAACTATTTCTTTAACTAATTGAGCTTTACTTATAACTTTTTTTTTAATATGTCATAATTTATCATTATTTTCAAGTTGTGAGACAGTCGTTTCAGTCACCCACTCAACTATTGTGTTAGCATACAAAGCCTATATCTGTTTGTCTTTTTAACCGTTGAGAATAATGTTGGTATATTTTTTAGTTTAAATTTCATAGAATTACATTTTTTATAATACATCAAATATATTAAACATTTATTATAAATTAAAATCAACTCAGCATCTTAGTTGACAAAAATTGTAAAATTGTATAAAACTATATTATTTTAATTAAAACCTTTTAAATTGAATATTAAGGAGATATAGTTATTTTTTCAGTATCTAGAGGTTTGTTTATTTGTTTTATGTGTAATAAATTATAGGCCTTTATACAAATAAATTTATGAGCCGTGATTAACTGTAATCCAGCACTCAGTATTTTTATGAATCAACTTATAATATAGCGCGTGGCAAGATAACAGTTACCGATAAATGTAATACAATTGTTTTTAGAAGAATATAAAAATGGTTAAACGTTTATAATAATAATCATTGCAAAACCAACATCGGGCAGAGTACAAACCAATTTTTTAAGTTAAAATTTACGTATACTTTTATATTTTTATGTCTTTTAAGTACCTACTTAATTTATTTTATGTGAAAATAATTAAACGTTATTATAAATAAATCATCAAACCAAATTGATCCTGCAGTAGCAACGATAGAAAAGCAACATCCAGATTTTGAAAAATCGCTCACACACTTCATTTCCAGTAGAAGATAGTAATTTAAAATTGTAAATATGAAAACATTTTGATATAATGTACCTTATATTTATAAGCTTATTAAATAGATGATATTCCAATCACTTAACTTAAATTTATGTATATTATTTTCATGAAGTACATTACATTTATAATTAAAACTTCAATTAGAAATTTACAGGAAAATATTTTTTAAGAGATATAGGAATATTAAAGGTCTAGATAAACACTGAGAAAATAAATTAGATATTTATTAATATCTCATTGAATACACGTTGGTCTAATACCTATATTACAATGAATTAACTCTAAACTATCTACCAATTCACTTTCTATTTTATAAAATATATGGATAGTGTGATATGGAATATTTTTTTGGGATTCATTTTTTACTGTTTATTTATATGGGATCTATAGTCTTTGTATGGAAAATTACTTCAATTTATTTTAAGTATTGCATGTCAAAAACTTAATATTTCTTTTAACGATCCTTTTTTTTTATAGTTACAGCTCATTATTAAGGTACAAAAAAGTTATTATAGTTCTATGACTTGAATTAAATTATATAATATATACAATAAAACATCAATAATTATATTAAATTAAATATTAACAATTTGTGATTATTTTATCCATTATATATTATGTTATATTTTATTATATATATATTACACATATTACATCTATAAATTAAATTGTGCAAAATAGTGTGATTCTGTCTTTTTAATTTTAAAGATAAGATCTTAGGCTAGAAACACACGAGCATTATTTACCGTGTAAAAAAAATCTATCACGTGTTTTAAATTCATATCAACACACGAGCGTTTACATACGGCATGTTATTTTACGGTAACTATTAATAACTACGATATTCACGATAAATATATTTTATTACAACTATTACAACTAATATTTGTTTATATTTAGTATGTGCCTATTTTTCAATTAACACAGCAACATCATGGTAGTTAAAAATATTTTTTGCTTTTGGGTTAACAACTTTTTACTAAAAATAAAAAATAAACATAAATTAAATATAACACGTCATTTTGAAGGTGCATTTAATAAAATTTTTGAAAATATCAGAAAAAGTCTAGTGTTAAATATAATATCTTTTCCTCTTTTTTTTTTTTTTTTTGTTATCCTATCACCTAATTTTGGCACATTTTTTTTTATTATTCTGAAGTATGTAGATAAGTTATTTCAGGTTGAGTCAAATATTACTCAAATGGCAGTTTACTGTTGATACTCAATATACCATAGGCGTGCGCAGAGGGTATGCAGGGTATGCAACTGCATACCCTAAACATAGAGCCTTCTTTTTAAAATTACAAAAAATAAATGAAATATAACTATTTGATCTTATGTATATTATGTGATTTTTTATTACATTATGATTTTTATTATATTTTTATATTCAGTCCCAGACAGTTTAATTTATTTTTGAAACACAAATCATATGCTATAATAACGATTTAATGTGTTAATGAAATTAAGAAGTACAATAATTCAAGCGAGATTAAATAGCTATCAACCATAGAACAAGAAATGGCTATAAACTAAAATCCCGAAAACATTATTGGTGATTTAATAACTCAACTATACGCAGAATCGTTTTATGATTAATTTTGATTATTTATTATATTTATTTTGTTTTTCATTTAAGTATATAATTTCGTTTTTATTTGTTTACCCTATTTAAGCGTATTACTTAAACCATTTCAAGTGTTATGTATTTAATTTTTTTTTTTCGTAATTTATTTTAAATTTTAATTATGAAGACAGTTATAACGATTAAGAAATGGCTACTCAGTCGCTTTCTTCGGGAGAAAAAATTAAAATTTTAAATTAAATAGTTATTAAGACCAGAATTTCGAACGCTTAAATTAACTTTCAGTTTTTTTTTTTTTGGGGGGAGGGGGGTAGGCAGTGGTTGCCTTTTGCATACCCTGAAAAAGAGGTCTGCGCACGCCTTTGCTCAATACACATATAAACAACAAATTTTAAAAATAAAATAATAGTCGTTCATGTGTTTTATTTATCGCGTGTGTGCTCTTCACATACAATTTTAATGCATTTTGATAGGAAGTTCTTATTGTAAGATATTTTTAACGAGCGGTAAAGTCAATATGCATGTGATAGTTATCGAAATGTCGCGCGTTAGGTTTATGGTGTGACATTCGTTTATTTGAATGTACATCAACAAAACGCGCCTTTAAATTACGGCGTGGTAAATAGTTTAAACTACTTTATTAAATATACACTTTTGGTTATAGTCGTTTTTTTTCTTTTTACTCTACTATTGAATATCAAACAATTTTTTACTTATTTAAATTTATAGTTCTATCTATATTGATTTACAAAATAATGTATAATTTATGGATATATAAGATCATTTTAGGGCATTTCTGTAAATATATCTGTGGTTTTATAGAGAGTGAAGTTAAGCATAAGTTTAAAATTATTAAAATATTTATATATATACCTATTTATCAAAATAATTTTATTATGAAACATTTTATAATATACTAACTTGAGTTTTTTTTTTCTATAATACTAATTTATATTAATGTTTGCTAATTATAATTGTTGGTGAATTTAAATAACTTAAAATTAAAAAAAATCAGATGGTTAATTCGTTATCAATTAATGAAAATAGAAAATTAAATCTTAGTTATAGTTGAAAGTCATTTCTTTAGTCATTGGTTTACATCAATTGTTCCACATTGTAAATTTCAATAATATTTCCACGATACGTAAGAAAATATAAAAAAATATCTTCTTTATTATTTCATTAAAAAAAAAAAATACTTCCTTTAATAAATACATGTCTAACATTAACATAAAATAATTTAAACATAACTATGAAATAATGGTTGACATTTTCATATAATTATAATTTAATTAAGTTATTTAAACATTTTATTTACTAATTAACTATAGTATATTCATGAAAAAAAATTGTTGTTCATATAAATTAAGATTAATTTGCTTTGCGGAAGTTTATTGTTCAACATTTAATTTTCAAATAGTACTTTCATATCCTATTAAGAAATTTGTATGCCCTACAATTAATGAACTATTTTCCAATAGTAATATGATTGCTGGTTGATTATATATTTAAAAATTATAATATAGAAAAATAATTTTCAATCATATTTTACAAATAAGTTATTGATTTTTTTATTATGCTAATAGTAAATGTCTAGTAAACAAAAATCTATAGCAATATAAATAAATTAAATTAACTTCCAAACAAATAATTTAAATTTATTAAATTAATTAATTGCACTCTAAACAATAAAACGTGGTGCATCAAAAATCTATATTATCATCTATTATTATTTTTTTTATAACATATTATTAAATGACTATTTACGTAAATACTAACATTTATTTCTTATCAATATTTTATACAAATATTTATTGTTGATGATACTTATTCAATACCTAGTCACATGAGGATGTTGATGTACAATTATTTTTAAATATGATTTATCATTATTTTCATAATTGAATTGCTATTCAGATTAATGATTTTATACTGTATTTTATATAAAATGTTTGTATAGGCTTGTGTAGTTTTTTAATTTAGACACAGTAATTGGTTACACTTACCCATTAGAATCAAGTCAATATAAAGGTATTACAGTAGATATTTTATAAAGCAAGTTTATACATTTTTTTCATGTAACAGCAATAATAATTTGTATACAGTTTATATTAGAAATCTTTTGTCTCATACTTTATTAAAATAAAAATTAAAAATTGAATGATAACGAATTATACAGTTTTATATCATGACAATAATACAATTTCTTATACTATGAAATAAAACAAAAATACAAAAAAAAACAATTACAATTTATTAAAACATTTAAAAACAAAAAGTGAACACAAGCTCATTTTTGTTACTCTAACCATAATTTAAAATCTTAAAAGTAATAATTTTTTTATTTTTATATAAGTATGATTATTCTTATAATTATATGAATAAATTAGTAGGTACTTAATTTTATATTTTAATACTTGTAATTTGAATACAAGAGTATTAAATTTCTTTATTACGTGCGATATACTTGAGTTACAATATTGCATAAGATAAGATGAATGACCTTCGCTATGAATAATTTTTTGAGTACTTGTCTTTTCTTCTAAATTTATAAAACTGATGTTTCAATTATATATACATGATATATAATGATTTAAAAATTATTTAATTGCTACTCAATCCACGTTTTCCAACAGTGTTCTGACAGAATTAAACAATTTCAGTCTTAGGTCTCAGTGATGCTACTAAATTTCATATATTATTAAATTTTTTTTTAAAAATGTACTTTATTTGAAAACTAAATTGATATATTACATGGTTTATCGGTTTTAGTTGTAATTATTAATAAATGTTAACTAATGCACATTTAGTATTGATGATTTAGACTATATGTTAATGATTCATTCTTTAAGTACCTTTAAGTTAAAGTCTTACGTTAAAGAATGAATCAGTTAGATCACCATATACAGGACATTGATCAGGTTCAGTTTTGATCATTATATGTCAATGAGTCAACCATGTGTGGCCTATTCGTAATATATTAATAATTACTTCCTATCTTCTGGATAGTGAAAAAGTCGGCCATGGTAGTGTTGTGGTTTTTATTTCATGAAAATATAACTACTTATATTGACATTGGTTTTGGATTAAATCATTAATATAACATTTAATATCTTGGACAGTGGGTGCGTAAAGTTGATGAGCGCTGGAAAATAAGATAGCTAGTTTAGCGAAGTATCTGCTGATTCGTTTTCATAGATACCAGCATGACCTGAAATCATCATGATGATCTTAGTATTAAGTTTTAGCAACAATATCTGGTTCTGAATTTTATAGATATGCTGTTAGGTATAAGTTTATTTGAATTAGAACATGTGTAAATATTATATAATTATAATACAGTTTTTCCGTGTGTCAAAATAAGATATCAAATAAATGGGCTGTTTTCTTTTATAGACGAGATGACAAATATTTATAATA